TTTTTTTTTTTTTTTGAGACGGAGTCTCACTGTGTCACCAGGCTGGAGGCGCGATCTTGGCTCACTGCAACCTCCACCTCCCAGGTTCAAGAGACTTTCCTGCCTCAGCCTCCTGAGTAGCTGGGACTACAGGCGTGCGCCACCATGCCCAGCTAATTTTTAAAATTTTTAGTAGAGACAGGGTTTCACCATGTTGACCAGGATGGTCTTGATCTCTTGACCTCAGGTGATCTGCCCACCTTGGCCTCCCAAAGTGCTGGGATTACAGGCGTGAGCCACCACGCCCAGCTGACACACTTTTACTTATTCATTTAAACATGTTTATGGGCATCTTCTTGGTGCCAGGCCCTGTACCAGGCTCTGGGCACACAGCAGTGACCAGGAAGCTAGCACTCCAGTGTTTGGGCATGGCTTCAGCTTCCTTCCAAGCTAAGGAAGGGGTTAGGGCTTTTGCCATGGGGGACTGCGCAGCCACTGAAGGCTCCCCAATGGGCAAAGTGAGCAAAATGGTCAGGTCTGCATGTGAAAAGGCGCCAGGAAGGGTGTTTGGGCCAGTGGGCCCCAGTGCTAGGGGACCTGTGAGATTGCAACACAGGTAGGGACTGAGTCCTCCTGCACAGGCAGTTTCCAGTCCCATTTCTGTACAGACAAGGACACTGAAATTCAGGGAGGAAGAGTAATTTGCTCAGAGACCCCTTATGAGGATGGGGGGTGGGGAGCACACTGCTGGGTAGATGTGGGGTCAGGTGTTGTGCAAGACAGGCCCAGGGTAAGGTGGTTCTGGTGAATGTGAGGGAAGGTGAGAGGCCGTCTCTGGGGTCCACTCTGTGGGGTGTGGCTGAGATGCTGTCTGGCCCGGCGACCTGCCTACTTTCCAGCTGTGTGACTTGGGGCAAGTTACTTAACCTCTCTGAGTCTCAGTTTTCTCGCCTGTAAAACTGGAATAAAAATTTTACCTGCTTCGGCTGGGCACGGTGGCTCATACCTGTAATCCCAGCACTTTGGGAGGCTGAGGCAGGCAGATGACCAGAGGTCAGGAGTTTGATACAAGCCTGGCCAACATGGCGAAAACCCGACTCTACTAAAAATACAAAATTAGTCGGGTGTGGTGGCACACACCTGTAACCCCAGCTACTTGGGAGGCTGAGGCAGGAGAATTGCTTGAACCCAGGAGGGAGAGGTTGCAGTGAGCCAAGATCGTGCCACTGCAGTCCAGTCTGGGTGACAGAGCAAGACTCCTTCTAAAAAAAAAAAAAAAAAAATTGTACCTGCCTCACAGGATCCTGTAAGATAATCAGTGTAGGGAGCTTGGGGCAATGCCTGGCACCTAGAATGGACCTGTTCCATGGGAGGGAATGCCAGCAGGTAGGCAGTGGAGGTAGGGTAGGGCTGGCGGGCTGGAAGAGCTGGTTCCAAGGACTGAGAAGGTGGGGGAAGCTGGGGACAAAGGGAGAATTTTGTGAGATTTCCTGGTTGGAGCAGGAGAAGGTGGCTGGCCAGGGCGAGGTCAGGGAACCAGGAGCCTCTCAGGTTGTCCACTGGGTGGGGAAGCCTCCCAGGCTGGGGGGTGGGGGCCCTAGGAGGGCTGTGGCCAGGGCCCAGAGGAGGGCAGGGCAGGGACTGGGCGGGAGGTTCTAGTCACTGTGTCTCCTACCCCAGTACTTGTGCTAGTGGCTGCCACCCAGACAGGCAGCAGTGCCTCATGGGACTTGTAGTTTTTCAGGGAGAGGTGGTGGCCAAGGGTGTCAGGAGGTGCAGTGCCCCCTGGGCAAGGCCTAGGTACGGTTATTAATCCAGGAAGGTAGTTTTCAGCGGCAAGGCTTGTAGGCTTGTCTTCCAAGGCAGGATTTGGCTGGCAACTGGTCATGGGTGCTGTCCCTGAAGCTTCATCCTTCCAGGCCCCCCACGTGGCAGAATGGTTTGGTCTCCTTCCCTCTGGGGCCCGCAGGCCAGAATGGGCCTCCCATCTCCTTCCAAAGTGGTGCAGCCCAACTGCCAAAGGCCACAGGTCACCTGGCTGGCAGCATCCTGGCTCCCCCCCAGCCCCCGAGCCCCCACTGTCAACTCCTGAATTCCTGTCCCGCCAGTCCTCCGTGACCTTTTCCCTGTAGCCAAGGTCTCTCACCAGACCCGCCTCTGCTGAGCCTCTCTAGCTGTCTAGCTGTCACATGGCTGGAGTGGCAGCCCACAGGGCGCGTCCACCTTTCACTGCGCACATGAAGAACCGTGGGCTCAGAGAGGTGACGGTACTTTCCCAATATGTGTCACTGACTCCTGGCCCAGGGGCCTTCCTCATGCCCTGCCAGGCTTATGAACCCCAACTCTTTCATGCCAAATTTCGAGGGCACCAGACTTTGCTCCCATTTTATAGATGGGAAGTAGAGCCCAAAGGGCTAACGATACATGCCCAGGATTGCAGGTCAAGGACAGAAAGGCAGCTCTCTTGACTCTCAGGCCTCTGTCTCCGGCTGTCCCCTGCCCCCTTGCCCTGAGTCTGCTCTGCCTGCCCTCAGGAGCTGGAGAAAGCTGTGGTGCGGGGCAAGGAGCTGGGGGCCCGGCTGGAGCATCTACAGCGTGAACTGGAGCAGGCAGCTCTGGAGCGCCAGGAATTTCTGCGAGAACAGGAAAGCCAGCACCAGAGGTGGGGACAGGGCTGAGGGGAAAAGTGAGGGAGGCAGGGGTGTGGTGGGGTGAGCGTGGGGTGGGGCTGGGTGCCAAGGATTCTCCTGGCAGGTACCAGGGCTTGGAGCAGCGGCTGGAAGCTGAGCTGCAGGCGGCGGCGACCAGCAAGGAGGAGGCGCTGATGGAGCTCAAGACCAGGGCCCTGCAGCTGGAAGAGGAGCTGTTCCAGGTGATGCCTGATGGCCTGGGAGCTGGGGGCCATGCCACCCCGCTCTCCATCCCATGAGCAGATGCCAGGGTCGCGTGTGCTGCTGGTCTTGCCCCTGGATTCTTGGCTAGCTACTTGTCTCACTCCCCATGTGGGGCCTGTTGGAGGGAGCACTGTGCTGGGAGTCAGGTGGCCGTGTTGACTTACCCGGGGTCTCATTTTCCCCATTGTGCACATGGACAGAACTTCTGCTGTGGATGACTGCTCCGCCTCTCTCACCCGGGGTGCCCCACTGCCTAGGGAGCTCAGCGCTTGGCATCAAGGAAGTCAGTTATGGTTTCTGATGCCTGGGCTGTGTGTGGGCTCCATACGGAGGGCGGGGTGGTGGGGCCTAATCCCAGGCTGCCATCCTCAGGAAGCTCACAGTCCAGGCAGGATAGAGGCAAGAAAACAGGTGATGATAACTAGGTGCCAGGGGCTGTGAGGAGGCCATACAGGGGCTTGGGAGGGTGCCACCCAGCAAGGTACCCAGCAGGTGCATGTGAGTCAATCAGGGGAGGTTTTGTGGAGGAGGTGGGGTTGAAACACAGGCTTAGAGGAGGCCCCGTGCAGCAACTCATGCCTGTAATCCCAGCACTTTGGGAGGCCAAGGCGGGTGGATCACCTGAGGTCAGGAGTTCGAGACCAGCGTGACCAATATGGTGAAATCCCATCTCTACTAAAAATACAAAAACCAGGCCAGGGGTGGTGGCTCAAGCCTGTAATCCCAGCACTTTGGGAGGCCGAGGCAGATGGATCACGAGGTCAGGAGATCGAGACCATCCTGATGAACACTGTGAAACCCCATCTCTACTAAACACACACACACAAATTAGCTGGGCATGTTGGCGGGTGCCTGTAGTCCCAGCTACTTGGGAGGCCGAGGCAGGGGAATTGCTTGAACCCGGGAGGCAGAGGTTGTAGTGAGCCGAGATCGCATCACTGCACTCCAGCCCGGGCGACAGAGTGAGACTCCGTCTCAAAAAAACCCCACAAAAAACAAAAACAAAAAAACCCAAAAATTAGCTGGGCGAGGTGGCTCACATCTGTAGTCCCAGCTACTCGGGAGGCTGAGGCAGGAGAATTGCTTGAATCCGGGAGGCAGAGGTTGCAGTGAGCTGAGATCACACCACTGCACTCCAGCCTGGGCTACAGAGCGAGACTCTGTCTCAAAACAAAAACAAAAACAAAAACCGAAAACCAAAGAGGCTTAGAGGAGTGGTGGGATGGAGAGGTGCTATGAGAAGGAGGCTCTGCTGCAGACAGAGAAGCTGAGAAGGGCAGGGTGGACATGGTGGAGCTTCAGGAACCAGGAGCAGGGACTTGTGGGATCCAAGGGAAGGCATGAGATTGGGGCAGGGTGGCCCTGGCTAAATGCTGCTGGCAGGACAGGCCCATAAGCGCGGGTCCTTGCGGCATCCCCAAGCCGCTGCCCTGCATGACTTCCAAGGGACTCTCCTTGCAGCTGCGCCAGGGCCCCGCGGGGCTGGGGCCCAAAGAGCATGCGGAGCCTCGGCTGGTGGAGACCCAGAATGTGCGACTTATTGAGGTGGAACGCAGTGTGAGTGTGGGCCACAGTGAGCCCTGGGGAGGTGCCCCATGCAGTGTGAGTGTGGACCCACAGTGGGTCCTGGGCGGGGGGGGTGCCTGGTGCAGTGTGAGCCCTGGGGAGGTGCCCTGTGCAGTGTGAGTGTGGGTCCACAGTGGGTCCTGGGGAGGTGCCCCATGCAGTGTGAGTGTGGACCCACAGTGGGTCCTGGGCGGGGGGGGTGCCTGGTGCAGTGTGAGCCCTGGGGAGGTGCCCTGTGCAGTGTGAGTGTGGGTCCACAGTGGGTCCTGGGCGGGGGGGGTGCCTGGTGCAGTGTGAGCCCTGGGGAGGTGCCCTGTGCAGTGTGAGTGTGGGTCCACAGTGGGCCCAGGGGTGGGGGTGCCCCATGCAGTGTGATTGTGGGCCTGTGGTAGGCACTGGGGGCGCCCCCACCACCTGGCTACCGCTAACCCCCACTTCTGGGCAGAATGCAACACTGGTGGCAGAGAAGGCAGCTTTGCAGGGGCAGCTGCAGCACCTGGAGGGGCAGCTGGGGAGCCTGCAGGGCCGTGCCCAGGAGCTGCTGCTGCAGAGCCAGCGGGCGCAGGAGCACAGCAGCCGCCTGCAGGTGGGTGGCCGCCCGGGTGCCCATCCCTGCCCATGTACTGCCCCCTCCTGCCCCTTTTGGATCGTCCTGTGGCCTTTTTCTATCCCAGCTCCCAGCCAGCTGCCCCACCTCTTCTACAGCTTCATTTATCCTTGTCCTCTGACCCCAGCCACCATTGTGCACCATCCTCCCTGCCGCTGTCTCCTCCTACCTGCTGCCAGCTCCCACATCTGCACCTGTGTCCCCCTGCCCTCTCACCGTCCCAGCCCTCCCCTCCACAGGGAGCCATTAGTCCCATTCTGCCCTGTGCCCCTCCCGGACAGCCTGGCCCAGCCAGCCTCTGCCGCCTCTCTCCTGCTCGCCATCAGCCTCTGGCTGGGGTTTGTGCTGCTTCCTGTGCCCCCAGCCCTCTGCCTCCTCCACAGCTCTCTCCTTGTCTTGAGCCCTACCCTCTGCCCTTAGCCCCCGACCCTTCACCCGATTTCCAGCCAGGGGTTCCTCCCCAGCAGCCTCTGCTTCCCTCCTCCATCCCAGGCCGAGAAGTCTGTGCTGGAGATTAAGGGCCAGGAGCTGCATCGGAAGCTGGAGGTGCTGGAGGAGGAGGTGCGGTCGGCGCGGCGGTCCCAGGAGGAGACACGGGGGCAGCAGCAGGCCCTGCTTCGGGACCACGAGGCCCTGGCACAGCTGCAGCGGCGGCAGGAGGCCGAGCTAGAGGGACTGCTGGTGCGGCACCGAGACCTCAAGGCCAACATGCGGGCACTGGAGTTGGCTCACCGGGAGCTGCAGGGCAGGTGAGCATCACCAAATGCCCAGCTCCTCCCCTGGCACCCCCTATCTGCCAGAGAAGACTCCCCTTGGCAGGTCTGACTCCCATCAGGAAGCACCTCCACCTCCGCTCTGTGATACCCCCGCCACTGTTGTGCTCCCCACACTTCTGGGCTGGGCTCCCCGTGGGGCTCACCTGTTGGGAGTGGTGGGCACCTGGCATGGCTTTCTGCCCAATGGCTTTCCCTGGGGGACCTATGCTTAGGAGGTGACAGACCTCCTCTGGGCTCAGATAGTCCAGCTGGCTGCTTGTGGTGGCCATAGGTTCACGCAGCCCTCTTAGCCCCTTGTCCATCCCAGGCATGAGCAGCTGCAGGCCCAGCGGGCCAGCGTGGAGGCACAGGAGGTGGCCCTACTGGCAGAGCGTGAACGCCTGATGCAGGATGGGCATCGGCAGCGGGGCCTCGAGGAGGAGCTGCGGAGGCTTCAGAGCGAGCACGACAGGTGCCGGCCCTGCCACAGCCCCTAGCAGCTCTCAATGGCCCCATCCCGAAAGTGGGTTGGGGGTTTGGGGTCCTGCCTGGCCTTCCCTCTCCGGCATAACTCCTCTGGCCAGCACTCGGACTGAGGACCCAGGTCCCTTGGAGAACAGCTCTCCTTGCCTCCCAAGGGCTCAGCTGCTGCTGGCAGAGGTGTCTCGGGAGCGGGGTGAACTTCAGGGTGAACGCGGGGAGCTACGGGGCCGGCTGGCGCGGCTGGAGCTGGAGCGGGCACAGCTGGAGATGCAGAGCCAGCAGCTGCGCGAGTCCAACCAGCAGCTGGACCTGAGCGCCTGCCGGCTGACCACACAGTGTGAGGTGTGGATGGGGGGCCGGCAGGGGTGTGGGTGTGTGTGGGGGAGCAGGAAGCCTATACCCAGGTGGTCCTGAGCTGGGTCCCACCCCCTGACCCATGTTGCCCTCCTGCCAGCTATTGACACAGCTGCGGAGTGCCCAGGAAGAGGAGAACCGGCAGCTGCTGACTGAAGTGCAGGCCCTGAGCCGGGAGAACAGGGAGCTCCTGGAGCGCAGCCTGGAGAGCCGGGACCACCTGCACCGCGAGCAGCGGGAGTACCTGTGAGTGGGCCGACTGGGAGCGGGGTAGGGCCTGCATCCCCTTTGGGCGTTCCTGGGGAGATCCCCCAGTGAGGGCCTAGGGACAGGGTTGGAGCTGACCTTCCAGGTCAGTCCGATCTGTGGCATGGGACCAGTGCGTCCTCACTGCAGCCTGTGCCTTGCTACTGCCTTGGCTTCCCTGGGCCTCACACCCACCTCTCCCTTCTCACTCCTGCCAGGGAACAGCTTAATGCCCTGCGCCGAGAGAAGCAGAAGCTCGTGGAGAAGATCATGGACCAATACCGCGTGCTGGAGCCTGGGCCCCTGCCCCGGACCAAGTGAGCAGCCCTGTCACCTCCCTCAGGCTGGACATCCTGCTAACCTCTGCCCCTGCCCTGGCCTCTGACCCCAGGCCCAGCTCAGGTCCAGGCCCCATGAAGGTCAACCTGGCCTTTGCCATCCCCAGGACACCCTTTGCTCCCTCCCTCCTCCCTGTCCTGATCCCGTCTTGTGCCCTCTTGCCCCCAGGAAGGGCAGCTGGCTGGCAGACAAGGTGAAGAGGCTGATGCGGCCCCGGCGGGAGGGGGGCCCCCCTGGGGGGCTGCGCCTGGGGGCCGATGGGGCTGGCAGCACCGAGAGCCTGGGGGGCCCCCCGGAGACGGAGCTTCCTGAGGGCAGGGAGGCAGATGGGACAGGTGGGTCTGGGGGTCAGGTGGCCAGGATGGTCCCTGCCCCACATCCTCTGCCCCTACCTTGGCACCTGCCTCACTGCCTGGCCTGCATGCATGACCCCATTGGCCTTCCCTGAGGCCTGCTCAGCCTGCCCTGATGCCACCAGGGGCTCTTTGCCCTGGGCCCTGCAGGGTCACCCTTGGCCCACACCTCTCTCCTGCCTGTGCTATCCCCCACCTAGCCTGCCCCATCTGCAGAGGAGCCCAGGATCTGGGAGGTGCAGAGGACTCTAGGGAGAGGTCATTGATCCTAGACTGCAGATGAGGAGACTGAGGCCCCGGGAGGGGAAGCTCCTTGCCCAAGGTCATGCAGTGAGTTAGTGTCAAGGCCAGCACAGGGCCAGCGTCCTGCTGCCCCCTCATTTGCCTGGCTCCTACCCCCTCTCTGCACCTCCTCTCCCTGGCCCTGGGCAGCTTCACCCACTGGCCCCTCCACTCCACCTAGGCCCCTGCTCCTCTGACCCCCTCCCTACATGAGCCTCAGCCCCCTTCCCCTCCTCTGACCCCCTTCCTGCATGAGCCTCAGCCCCGCCTTTCCCTTCTCTGACCTCCTCCCTGCAGTGCCTC